AATCGATCCAGCGGAATATCTTGATTCAGAGTATTGCACACTTTGCTGAGCGATTTTGCTTTCTTGAGGGGGTATAGCTATTTTTCTAAAGTCATCTCAATTAGCACAGAGGCACTCATTCAGATACATTGTATCACTATAGATAAATTGTTTACATTAATAAGGCACTATTGGCGTTACAATATTCAAGGCACCGGTACCCTCATGTTTGCCCGGCAACATGTGAATTTCTTTGCAGTATTGGATTGCTCAGAATCTCTACTTTCAGAAAAAAACATATATTGGGCCGAGCGATTTTGCTTTCCAGAGGAGACATAGCTATTTTCTCAATGATATACGGTTTGTCATCTTTGAGCCTTCCGTATTTTCAAGTTTGCCCAGTAACATATGAATTTTTGTGCAACATTTGATCGATCTGAATCTCTACATTCTGAAAAACACATCTTTTGTTGAGCAATTCCGCTTTCTTCGCATCGTTAGATTCCACAAATTCTCTACTTTAGGTAATGTATATATGTTGTCGAGCGATTTTGCTTACTTGAGGAGATATGGCTGATTTTCTGACCCTATCTCAAGTAGCTCTGCAGCGCTCGTTTCAATGTACCCCGTTGATAAACCATTACATTTACATTAATCTCAGGGTGATCACCTTCAAATTGTCGATATTCCCAGGTTTGCCTAGTAGCATGGTCGTTTCTTTGCACCGTCGGAGTATATGTTATCGGGTGATTTTGCTTGCGTTCAGAGAAATAGTTGGTTTTGAGGGAATTAGATGAACGTCTTCTCTATTTTTCTTATCACTTTCGTTATTTCTGTCTCGCTCTCCTCTAATTTCTCGCCGACAATTAACACATTCAATGGAATGCTTAATAATGTATGCACTGTTATTGGGTGTTTTCATGACACATTGATTCACATTTCAAAATGCCAATGCAAAGTGGAATTTACTGTTGAAAACAGAATGAATTAGCGCTCGTACTGTGAATATACATTCTGTAAGCAATTACTAAGTAACTTTTCAGGAATTCTTCCGCTTCCAGAAAACAATCACATATCGTTACTTCAAGGTGTGCTTTGTATACTTTGGTATTCACAAAACTGATCAACGTCCACTACTTCTCTTTACCCATGCATTAAAATCAGCTACTTCCATTGCTGCTCGAGGTTCTGCTTGTGCCATCAGTGTATCTATCTGAAATTTGTTTGATCATTCTTATTATGACATGAATTCGGCTTAGGTGCATTCCTTAAATGATAACTGTACGTTGTGTTTCTACTTATAAATACCGAATAAAAGTTGAAATTACACTCGAATACCATTTTGATATTCCATCAAATCGAATTGAGCACTACGTTTCGGATAGAATATTGATTTGATATACAATGGGTCACGTTTCGCTCGATCAACTATTTTAGTGCTCATTTTCGCATTCCATTCGATTTCAAGNAAACATTTTGCATATTCTTACTTCAAGAGCACTTTGGAATTCATTTATTGTCGGATCGTTCTCAATTTTGAGGCGCCTCTCGACGATTCTTTTTGCTGATTCCGAAAGGCGCGTGAAACGTTCTTTGAGTCTCGCATTCCATTCCATCTTTTGCTTTTGCCATTCTGATAGTTGTTGCTGGTATGCATTCTGAAATTCAGTGAATATTTCAGTGCTTATTCAATTTGCAGTCGTGGATTGTTCACAAGAACATTTGAATATCATCCGCTAATCATTGATCAACTCAATCTACTCACGCGTTTAACTCAAAATGTCCATTTCAGACCAACGTCTTCTTCTGCGCAGTCTATTCTATTCGTGTGTGTAATCTTTTTCATCATTGTTTTGAGCCCCTTAAGTGATCAGTGGTCGACCAAATATCATCAATCTTTGTTCGATCTCAGTGATGAAGACAAATGAGTGTTACTTCGCATTTCCAAAAAGAGTTGCTCAATTTCTTTGAGCACGTAACTTTCTGTGTAATTGAAGACAATATCACTCAGTTGTGTTACTCAAAACTTTTTGTTTACTTGTTTGGGAAGAAAAAAAAGTTATGCAGAGAATGGAAATATTTACATAAGTTGGGTTGATCACAACTTTTACTTCACTGATGAATGTTCTTGTTTGAATGTTCGATAACAATCAGTTTTTAGTGTGTGTGAGTTCTATGCTGCTCCACTTTATCCGTATAGTGGAACATCAGTTTTCCCGTCATATTATTAGTTAGTGATGGCATGCCACCGACGCCCAATCGAAAAAACCCGACATATTTCGGTCGGAATTCCCACTGAACAGTTTTGATGTTCGGTCGGAATACTGGCTCATGGAATGTTGCAAAGTCGGATTCCGACCGAACAGAAATTCAGTTCGGATGCCTTCACCATGATCAATTACTTATGAGAAACAAAACCATCACTATAAATAAAACAAAACCCTCTGCCATATCAGTTTACTCGTTACTCGTTCAATTCCCCGATTAGACCATCACCCCTGGGAGGCGATTCATCGCTGCTTGGGAACGCAGGTGTAACGGTGTCGTCTGTAAAGAGACAAGGAACAGAAATAGATTCACAGAAACGTGACTTACCCAGATGTTTCCTCCTTGATTTTGCGCCCATTTCTTCATTAGCTCCATACGTTGTCCTCTTGGAACGTCCTTATCAACGATCTCTTTGAATTCTTTAATTTTGTGTTCATCCTGGATAGCATCAAGGACTGGCTGGATGGCTGTGCTTATATGAGGTAAATCCAAGTTACATGATCCCAGCAATGGATCGGAACTCCATGCGTTCACGTTTGCTGAGTTTAAAACAGCTGGTAGTAGGGGGTTTGCTTGAGAAAATGGTATCAGTTGAGTTATGACTGCGCATAAACCGAAGATCATATTTAGAGCCTTCATTTGAAAGGTAGGACTCAACTATTCTGTTAGCCGATGACGTCCATTCTCTTACCGTCCATTTATATATGGAACTTTCAGACGTCGAAATCGCTTCTTCATTATTTCATTTTCGCTGATTTCATTTTCGCATTTTCATTCAAATGGTAATGTTGTGTTAATGAGGAAATATTTCATCGATTTTGGAGTTGTTTCGTAGAAACGATTTGCATTCAATGGGAACGTTTGTGGGAATTTCGGCATTCAGGAAATGAATCTTTCCACTCAATTTCAAATGCTAATTCGTTTCTGAATACTGCCATATTCTCTAATCAGCAAATTATCACGAATTTACATTAGATTGAACATGACAAAACGTTCGTGTGATCATTAACATTTCCGTTCATCTCAGTAGTGTGAGCCCTATTGCCAACCTGAAACGCTTCAACGCTCTCTGTTGGTAGTGTTAGATGGATGGGCATCAGTGCGCTGCCCATGTATTTTAGATCTTCTAAAGTTGAGCGTCTTACGATGCACTGTCTTCCATCCAGATGATTCTTTCAAATTGCTTCATTCGAATCTTTCAGAATTAGTCTTTTCATGTGTAGTTTGCTGCTGTTGCAGTCAGAATTTAGCCACATCTAGGCCATCAGATCATTACGTGCACATACGAGGATCAGCTTAAAAATCGTAAAACTAATGCACTCAATTGCAGCTGTCTCCGATTACAGCAACCATAGCGCATTTAATCGTATTTACAGTATGTCGTCTATGGTTATGTCAATTGTCACTATTAGATCACTGTTTAAGCACTACGGTAAAGTGTTTTAAGACCACGAAGGAAGTGAAACTGATCGTGAGATGAAAATTTGTTTTAGATTTCCAACGAAACATCAGCGGAAACAGTCTGATATTGCTGACGTTAAGCACTATGTTTACGGCAACCCTTCACAATCCAGGATTGCTGTCTTTGTGAATATACATTCTACAAGCAATTGCTAATGATCAGCCAAGGCAACTTTTCCGGAAGTTATTTCTAGAGAACATCGCATATCATCATAATCGTTACTTCAAGGTATAATATCACTCCATTCCCATGATTTGTCTCTTAAAAACTGATCACGTGTCAATGATATTACCTTTTTTTATAAATTTCTTCTCGCCGTCAGTTTTTACCAACACATTCCATGATTCGTCCCTTAAGCATATCCGAAATCGCTCCCTTAAGGCATTTTTGGATATATTTAATTTTTTCTTCGGATGTTTTGGATATGTTAAGGGATTTCCGACATGCTCAACACATTTCAGTCAGCTGAACCCATCGGATTCATCTTGCTTAATAAGTGCTGCTTCAATCCGATTTTACACTTCATTACCGCCTGTATAGTTCAAGTCATAATAGTTTTCATTGGCAATTTCTCGAATTTGAATCTTTTTTTTCCGTTTGAAGTGTTTCACTGAACTGATTCAACCAAAACAACAAAGAGCATTATTTATTTACTGAAAGCAGTGATAGTTTAAAAATCCAACATTACAAACTGAACAAACAGCAGATCTTCAGTGATCCGCGTGTATATTATCAAATAAAAGTGAAAATCATACTCATTTTGGAAAAATATCGATTACAAACAGATCAACAAAAATCATAAATCAGAATATTTAAGAATAAAAATCAGCCCGTTCAGAGTATATAAGAAATTATCAAATGGAACGATTTTTAAAAAATGAAACACAGCTTTGAAATAACGAAACAATCACTTGGTATTTCAAAAAGAGAAAAATTNTATTTAAGAATAAAAATCAGCCCGTTCAGAGTATATAAGAAATTATCAAATGGAACGATTTTAAAAAAATGAAACACAGCTCTGAAATAACGAAACAATCACTTGGTGTTTCAGAAAGAGAAAAATTATCCCATCATCCCAAAACTAATAAACCGCTTTTGCAACAATCAATCCCGCATCTGAAATAAAACAAAACAAACAAATTGAACACGGATTACTTCTACTGAACAACGATCAACCACATCGGCTCATCGCAATGCGCACAATCATCAAAATTGAATTAACCGTAGATCAAAAAACCATTTCAATAAAACACAATGAAAAAGCGAAAATATTACACAAACAAAACAATGGAAATGTCAATGCAATCAAGAGAAACTTGACATATTTCCATTTGCAAAGAACACACACAGAAAAAATTCCAGATCAATCAATCTTAAAGGATCATCACGAGATTGAATAAAAAACACATTTCTAAGACCATTAATGAGTAAAATGTACAAAATTCAATAACAGAACCCATCAATTGATATAAATTGAACAAATTCACAAACAATTCACATACGATCGAAACAACCAAACAAAACTCGTCACAATTGAACAATCAAAAAACCAGCAATATTCAAGTTATTTGCACAATTTCAAACAATGAACAGAAAGAATACAGAACGTCATTATTCGACTCCGTGAACATTGTTCGGATTACAACATGTATCAACATATGAAAAATCAAATTATTATTGAAAAATCCAACGCAGAACGCCCTTAACATCGACTTACGATCATTGGACACAACATATTACTAGTGCTCAACGAATTGAAACCACCACATCATAACGAACAATCGCAAAACACAAAACCTGAATATAAAGTGAATATGAAATAAAATTTTTTGACATGAAACATTTTAAAAATATGGAATTGTAGCAGATCAAATTTCATTTGACGAATAAAAAGAGTAATGATTAAGCGAGCGAACAGCAGATAGAGTTGATATAATGAAGTTATTCGTCGAATATTTTCTTCAGTCTTGTTGGTGTCATTCTTAACGTATGCGTTCTCGCATTTCGTTCCTCTTCAATTTCAGCGATAGTCCTTAAAGGAACGATTTGTTTATTACTCACTGTTTTTAAAAAAATATTACCATAGCAATTTTAAGGACCCGAACTGTCCTAAACTCAAACTGAATTGAACTCAAACTATCCAAAACTGAACGAATTCAGTAGAAATCACTCAACTGCTATAGTGTTAAACTATTACTCTCATAGCTTCATAAAAAAAGCAATACAAGATGATCGTTATAAAATGAACTGCTATAAAATTGCTATAAAAAGAAAAACTTACTTTCTTCCAGCGCGAATCTGAATTTTTCGCGTCTTCGGAGCTTCTAAAATGAAAATACTCATCATTATCAATCCTAGAAATTTCGAAGAATATCACTAATCAAATACAACAAACATACAATATTAATTGAAAATCAAGTGCATCAAAGAGAATAACGTACTCGATTCGGCGGCAGCGGCAACACTCTCAGAGGCAGATCTTCTTCGACCTTTCTTACTTGAACGAGTTGTTTTGGTTGGTGTCTTGGAGATAGCAGCAGAGGACGAAGAAGATGAGGTTGATGGTGAAGACGGGATCGTCAGTGAAGTTGCACGTCGACTCTGAATTTATGATGATGAAATGTTGTAGCGTGTAATCTCAATCAACCGGAGAGACAGACCCAAATAACCTGACGTTTCGAAATGGAAAATTCAAAAACAACAAAAATACAAAATCAAAAAGTTTACCTTCGCTGCTGGTGAACGAGCTGGTGAAACAGAGTTCTCTGCCCTCGTATTCTTTGATACTCTTTTTCTTGGCGTTGTTCGACGCTTTGCTGAAGAGATTCATTTTATGACATACTCCAACACTGCTGTCATTAATTAACAACACGGATCCCGGATTTT